GAGTTACATACACCTATATAAACATATGTAAGAGGTTTTATGTTTTTAAGCCTCCAATGGGATGTTTTTCAGTTAGGAGTTGTTAAAAAAAAAAAATCGGTGAGAGAGATTTCCGACTACAGGAGCTGCTCTTCCACAAACTTTGAAGTTAAAACCCCACAATCAATCGATTAGATTAAAAATGCAGGTCAAGAAAACGCTAATCGAAATCATCAGAAAGATCAATCAGATGAGATGTTGTCCTCTATTTGTGGTTTCCATATCTCCGAAGAAGAAAGAAAAAAATGTCTCGGGTAAAAAATGTGAGAAAGAGAGAAAATGAGAACCTATTTTTCCATTTTCTGAGCAAAAAAAAATAAAAACTTAATTTTAATTCGTCGCACCAATCATATGCTGACACATTAGGGGTTGTTCATAGGTTGTAAAATCTCTTCATCAAGAAGCGGTACGTGAGATTAATGGGTTTTAATCTTTATTTTTTAATTAAAAATGAGTTAACAACTCTTTAACAACCTGTTGGTCTATATATCCTAAAAACAAAATGGTTAGGTTTGAATTTGGATTTAATATATATAAATATAAAAGTTTGGATTTTCCATATTAGTTTAACCATTATTGGAGATGTCGTATGTAATTTGAATTTTGGTTAGCCCTTTTTAAAAAATATATGCATTTGCCAACTTCATAAGTAACAACAACGTACAGTATAATATAGTTACTTTATATAGCCGATCTTATTTCGGCGTCATAGTTTCTTTCTATAGTGGTTTTGTGACTTTTGTCGGCGAATATGCCACGTGATTAGCTGTTGACTTACACTTCTCCAAAGCGTTTACAACACGTCATATTTTGATGACTAAGTGTCAAGTGTGACCCGAATGGACTAATTAAGCTGAATAAAAAATATATTATATCTTCGTTTTTTTAAAAATATGTAACTGTTTTAATTTATGTACTCCCTCATTTTAAGATTTATGGTTTTAAAATTATGCACACAAATTAAAAAAAAATTAATTGTATTAGCTTTTCAATATAAAAACATCATTAATTATCTATTTAAATACAATTCAACCAATAATAAACAAATTACATAATAAAAATAATTATTAAAAATAAAAACTAATAAATATTGCATTGAAAATTAAAAACGACAACTAATTTAAAACAAACAAAATTCTCTAAAACGATAACTAATAAAAACAGAAGGAATATATTATTGTTATTTTTATTTAATAAAATTAAATATAGAGAAGATATATGTAGCGAAAATAGAAGGTATTCGCAGAGAAAAGCATGTATAATGTATTTTACAATGTTATCCAGCTGCTATATTTCGTATAAAAAGTTACACTACAATAATTCAATTTCCTCATGCCTGGAATTTATTACTTAAATCAATTATCAATCAAACCTATATAATATTATTAGAAACTCGATACAATAGCCGGATTAAATATTCACATCTTTTCGTTAAAAACATTCCTAAAGAACCAAAAAAATAGCATCTACCTATCCAGACAATGTCGTGTCATGTGGAATGTGGATCAAAATAAAATATTTAACACGATATCCTTTTGGACGATTGGTCGGACCCGCTACCTTTTCCCGCCTATAAAAATACACGCAATACCCACAAAGAAGTAAGAACCTAGACACATACAAATTGAAATCTTATTCACAAATTCTCTTAAACCCACAAGAAAAAACTTCAAGAAAACAAAAAAAAAATGGCATTTCTTCCAAACTTTTTAATTCTAGCGTTTCTTATAATCATCATCATCTCAACTTTCTCTTCATCTTCTAACAAAAAACCCAAGAAACCACCGAAAATGGACCACCGTCGTATCCACTCATTGGCTCCATACTCTCTTTCAACAAAAACCGTCACCGTCTTCTCCATTGGTACACAGAACTCCTCCGTCTCTCTCCGTCGCAAACCATCTCAATCCCTCTCCTCGGAAACCGTCGCACCATCGTCACAACAAACCCACAAAACGTCGAATACATTCTCAAAACAAACTTCTTCAACTTCCCTAAAGGAAAGCCTTTTACCGATCTCCTCGGCGATCTCCTCGGAAATGGCATTTTCAACGTCGACGGTCACTCGTGGAGCTCGCAGCGTAAACTCGCGAGCCACGAGTTCTCGACTCGTTCTCTCAGGAGTTTTGCTTTCGAGGTTCTTAAAGATGAAGTCGAAAACCGGCTCGTACCGGTGCTTTCGGACGCGGCTGATGTTGGTATGACTTTGGATTTGCAAGATGTTTTAAAACGTTTTGCTTTCGACGTTGTTTGTAAAGTCTCGTTGGGTTGGGACCCGGATTGTTTGGATCTGACCCGACCCGTTAATCCACTTGCGGAGGCGTTTGATACCGCGGCCGAGATTAGTGCTCGCCGTGCCACGGAGCCGGTTTACGCTGTTTGGAAAGTGAAGCGTGTGTTGAACGTGGGAAGCGAGAGGAAGTTGAGAGAGGCGATCAGGACCGTACACGTGTTGATCTCTGAGATTGTCAGAGCTAGGAAGAAGAGTCTCGAGATCGGAACCGGAGAAGAAGCCAAGCAAGATCTTCTGTCGAGGTTTTTAGCCGCAGGAGACGGCGGCGAAGCGGTAAGAGACATGGTTTATTAGTTTTATTATGGCGGGAAGAGATACGACGTCAGCGGCGATGACGTGGCTGTTTTGGTTGTTGTCTGAAAACGGTGACGTGGAGAGGAAGCTATTAGAGGAAGTGGAGCCGTTGATAAGTTTAGGGTTAGGGTTTGAGGAATTGAAAGAGATGAGTTACACGAAGGCTTGTCTATGTGAAGCCATGAGGCTTTATCCACCAGTGTCGTGGGACTCTAAGCATGCTGCAAACGACGACGTTTTGCCTGACGGGACTCGTGTCAAGAAAGGAGATAAGGTGACTTATTTCCCGTATGGTATGGGGAGGATGGAGAAGCTGTGGGGAAAAGATTGGGAAGAGTTTAAACCGAACCGGTGGTTTGAATCTGAACCGGAGGGTACACGACCGGTTTTGAAACCCGTTAGTCCTTACAAGTTTCCGATTTTTCAGGCCGGACCGAGAGTTTGTGTAGCGAAGGAAATGGCGTTTATGCAGATGAAATACGTTGTCGGTTCTGTTTTGAGTCGGTTTGAGATTGTGCCGGTTAATAAGGACAGACCGGTTTTTGTTCCTCTTTTGACGGCTCATATGGCTGGTGGACTAAAGGTGAAGCTCAAGAGCAGAAGTCACTGATGATCTCATGATCATGTCACATTTTGAACGACATATTAATTCTATATTTGAAACAACATGTAAAATACAAGATAGTGATTTATATATATTACTAATACGGTAAGACTACTGCAAAATATAAATGGTGAAGCTAATTTTGGTGAAGAAATACAATCAAGTGAGGATGCTTTTAGAGTTAACTACTTTTTAGGTGTGGTTAATAACTTCTGTTAATACTTAATAGTAGATCTGTTCAATTGAAGAATTTAAAAAATGTCTTTTGGGTTCTTATTTAATCAATAAAATTAAAAACAGTAGATGAAAGTAAACTACGAGAACGTTGCACTGATCATTTTCACAAAACGTTTCTCATGGTAGCTAGTTCTTCGGATGTTGATCCTAATGATCTTTATGAATTGATAAGGTTGCAAACCCTTTTGCCTGATGAACCTACGGAATCTAGTGAAATTCTTGAAGTTGTTGAAAATGTGGGTTGTTAGCAAAATGTTTCAATTGCGTATCGACTTCTTTTGACCACACCTGTGACTGTGGCCTCCTCGGAGTGAATCATTTCATGTTAAGTTGTTGAGGAAATATTTAAGATCTCCAATGTCTCAAAGAATACTGAATGATTTGGCTATTTTTAGGCATTGAAAATGACATATCAGAAAGCATTGATTTTGAAATTGTTATTTCATGATTTTGCATCTTCTTGAAATGACTATTTACTACTTTTTAGATACCTAGGATATATGTTACGGTGAATAGTTTTTTTTTGTGAACAAACGATTGCAAGAAGAACTTGGAAAGAAGGAAGAGCACAATGAAAAACTTGATTATTTGTGGCTGTATTTTGCTTGCTTTTGATAAATAATGATATGTTAGGGGCCTATTTTTAAATTTTGCCCCAGGGCCTACGAAATGTTTAAGCCGTGGGCGCAGTCGTCTTAGCAGTCTTCTTGCTGGTGATGATTCTTATATTCTTTCCAAAACTGTTTTTTGCACACACACACACACAAATATCTAGTACTATATACGTGGCCGCAAGATTTCCATGTCTTGAGATCATACAAGAGGTAAAGTAATGCTAAAAAAAACATTACAATGCGTTCATAAAGTACGGACACGTATATTGGATTTGGAGCCAATTTCGAAGGACTTCTATGAACATTGAGGTGGGCCGAAGGAGTTAGTAATTAAGAGCGATTGGTTGGAATAGCTTTACGATGGTATTGTTTGGTTAATAAAGTAATGATGTGATTTGATTTCAACATCCGACCTTAGCTCAGTTGGTAGAGCGGAAGACTGTAGTCTGTGACAGCAAATCTTTAGGTCGCTGGTTCGATTCCGGCAGGTCGGATTTTTTTTGTTTTTTAGTTATTTTTTAATCAATTAGTTCAATTCTTATTTAACCCACAAAAGAAAACCCTGTAGCCTAAACCGACCCCAATATAGATGGTTTAAAGTTGGAATCAATATCAATGGTTAATCTAGGAAGATTTGTTTCCTTACTGTTTAAGATCACATGCCAGAAGAAAATATTTGAAAAATCAAGTTAACCGCGTGGTCCGCGTCTAAATGCTAATCGTTCGATCATCTTGAGTTAGCATCATCGTCACCGTTAAATCTGATATAGAAAAAAATCTAGCGGTTTCGATTAGTTTCACCATATCTACCGGTTAAAAATGGTTAAATCCCATGTGATTGTTTTACACCTGCCACCTCGATAACACCTATAAAAATAAATAATTTTTAGAAGAAAATCATTGGACGGCCGATTTAGTTGACCTCGTGTATACAGAAGGATAAGACAATCGCCAACTAAAGGCCGTAAAGGAAACGTGTCTTTGCTTTCTTTTCATTGAGGATTTCAGAAGATTTTGTAGTTTCTCTTCGATCTTTTTGGCTCGTTGATTCGACAATCTTCTGGATTCATTCTCTGATTTGCCGTCCGGTAACCCCTTCCGGAATCTGTGTTAATCGGCGGAGAGGAAGGAGAGACATAATTCTTCCTGGAATTGACTTTTAGGGTTTTCCTTTTCTTCGTCTTGGTTTCCCAGATCTGGTTTGTTTTCGTCGAGATTCTCTTTTTGTTTCCATTGTTTTGATTGTTTTCTTATTCGATAATTGAAGAAATCTCAAGCTATCTTCGAATCTGCGTATCGCTCGTTAAGATTTTCGTAAGGTGTTCTTTATTGTGAAGATTGGTGGTTTGAGGTTTTTTTTGTTCTCAATCGTGAATTTTCAATTGGTTATTCATACGATGGCGGCAGGAGGAGTCGAAGTTTCCAGAAGTTCCGTAGCCCTTGATCGTGCCCGTGAGTTTTATTCACGCGATGGTCGCAGAGATGGTGAGAGGCGTCAAACCAATTTACCAAGAGAATTTGATCGCAGGTGGAAGGATGGACGACGAGATTCGTCAAAGGGACCACGCCTGGCTTCTCAAAGAGGAGAAGCCCGAGAAGAAGATGGTGTTCAAAGACCATCTGAGAAGAGAAGGAAGTGTTCTCCTTTGGCATGGGAGAGAGCAGAGAAAGTGGTTCGCCCTCCACTTCATGAGAAGTCAATAACATCCAACCAGCTTGTTAATGAGAAGATATCTTCTGATGATCAGGTCTGTGTTGAGCTTGTATCTACAGTGTCTGTGCCGATTGTAAAAGCTCAGTTGTCTAACCAGCATCTTTTTGATGATCTTGAGGAGGGCCAGTTGGAAGACGAGCAGGTGGTTCAGGCACCAAATATCGCTACGTCTAAATGGGCGACTTGTTTGGAGTCCCCTAAGTTGATAGCTGATGTTGTTAGAAATTGCCGATGGAATAGAAGCAGTTTGACTCCCGAGAGCAGAGAATTGCAAGTGGAGCCGTTTGAGGAACGGCGATCCAACTCATCCGGGTCTGGTGGTGGATGTCGCAGTTTGGAGCCCCTTAGTGCTCATGAACATTCAGAGCATGAGTTGGAGAGTCCTATTGATACGGATATTGGCGAAGCAGAATGTTCTGTTTCTGATTTGAACAAGTCAGAAACTGATGAACCAGAGGGAGGCTTGAGCATGCTATCCGGTAGTAGAGATGTTAACGAATACCAGAAGCTAAGTAAGATAAACGAAGGAACCTATGGTGTTGTCTACAAAGCCAAGGACAGGAAGACGGAGGAGATTGTGGCACTCAAAATGATCAAGATGAACATGGAAGACGAATATGGATTCCCATTGACTTCATTGAGGGAAATCAACATCCTTTTATCTTGCAGTCACCCATCGATTGTGAACGTCAAGGAAGTTGTGGTGGGAAACGGTGGAAGTGTTTTCATGGTCATGGAACACTTGGAGCATGACTTGAGGGGCGTAATGGACAGGATGAAGCAGCCTTTTAGCACAAGTGAGGTGAAATGTCTGATGATACAGTTGTTGGAGGGTGTGAAATACCTCCATAGCAACTGGATTATCCACAGAGATCTAAAGCCATCGAATCTTCTATTGAACAACAGTGGGGAGCTGAAAATCTGCGATTTTGGAATGGCTCGGCAATATGGTAGTCCTATAAAGCCCTACACGCAGCTGGTTGTTACACAGTGGTACAGGTCCCCGGAGCTTCTTCTAGGAACGAAGCAGTATTCAACAGCAGTTGACATGTGGTCGATTGGGTGCATTATGGCTGAATTGTTGTCTCTGAAACCTCTTTTCAGAGGGAAAAGCCAGAATGACATTGACCAGCTTCAACAGATCTTTGCGGTTCTTGGAACACCAAGTGAGACAACCTGGCCTGGATTCACGTCGCTGCCAGGTGCAAAAGCCAAGTTTCGTAAGCAACCGTACAATTTACTTCGTAAGAAATTTCCTGCTGCGTCTTTTACAGGAGCTCCAGTTCTTTCAGAATTGGGATTTGATTTGTTGAACAGATTATTGAGTTTTGACCCCGAGAAGCGCCTAACAGTTGACGAGGCACTTAGCCACGGCTGGTTCAATGAACCACCTCTCCAGAAATCCAAGGAGTTTATGCCGACATTTCCCCCAAAGCGTAACTGAGAGATATGTATGAATTAATGAACTACGAATATCAATAAAATTTAGTTTTAGAAAAATTTGTTAGTACATACTTCATACATTTTGTGTATATAAATTAATTTATTACGAGGAGGATGACTCATTTTATTTCAGCCCAAATAGGCGAATTGATTACAAACTGAAAACGACAGTGTGTTTTTTTTTAGAAGGTTTTTGTCTATCGTGATGACTTATATTGGTAATCTTTTCATGTCCTCCAGTTACCAAACACTGAAATTTGGTTTCAACGGCCAAAAGACATTGTCAAGAAGTTGCTCTCAGGAGATCTGGATCTAGGTATCGTTGGTCTTGAGTCTGTTGACACACTTAGTGAATATGCTCAGGATTAGTTCCTCGTGAAGGGCTTTGATATGTTCATAATGTAGGGATTCTTAGCGGTATATGCTCATAGTGGAGAGGAAAAAAATAGTTGACTTTCATTCTCTTTTTCCATTCTTTGACATTTGTAAGCCATTGTTAAGTCAGCGTATAGGATTCAGAATTCCCTTGTGAGTCTCTGACTCTGGAAGGCTTTGTTGGCATCATAACTTTGATGTTTGAGTTTTCTTTTTGGGATGTATATAGATTCTCCTCTGGTGCGCTGTTGTCATTAACTTTCTCTCAGGATGTATATAGCTTCAATATAATATTTGGGAATGATTCAACTGGTTTTTGCAGCTCGGCCCCAAATTCATGAAAGCAAATGGCATAAAGCATGTGACGTTTTCAACTGCAGATGGAGCCCTGGAGGCAGCTCCTGCGGTGAGATTATGGCTTCTTTACTTCTCACTGATAGTTTATGGCTTCTCTAATTATGAGCAGGGACCAACAATAAGCCCAGTTTACTGTACCCAAAATGGACAAGTATCGGTTGAGTAATATGTAAATATTTAGGAATATTTAATATCCTTTGGAGCGATAAACTTGTATCTCTGCTTCTTTTAAAATTATTGGTTCTGTCACTCAAAAAGTCAAAATTATTGAGCAAAAAGATGTTGTGGACAGAGAATAAAAAAAAACTACCCACGAATTGTGTAATCCAGTTTTCAGTCAACAACAAGTGTATGTAGATTAAAGAATAGTTACAATAATGAAATGTTTGATAAATTTGATTGGTAAGTCCGAACAAAAGAAAAAAAGCAGAATCAACAACAAAATTGCTCTTCAAAAAAGAAGATACAAATACTAACTAAACACCTTATTTCCTCTTATAAACAAATAAATATGTATTTCAAAATTAATGATGTTATTAAAGGACAAGAGCCGAAAATACAAATATGAAATACCAGAAAATCTACTTCAGACATGTACACATCAAAACGCAAGTATGTTAAACGTAAGTATGTTTGTTTATTTTCAATGCTTTGAAAAGGAGATGAAAAAGAATAATATTTTTATAGAAAAAAAAAACTTAAAACTGGAAAAACAGACATGATCATTTAGAAAAAAAAGAGATTTATGAAATTGAATTAAGACTGAGAAAATTCTAATACGAGAGTACCTAGATTTTGAACAAGTTTTATTTGCTCAATAATATGTAACCAATTATCATTGGTTACTTCTGTTTCAAACCACAATATTGCATCTCGGCTTTTACTTATAAGGGTTATTTTCAACCAAAATAACCAAGTAGTTACGGAATTAAAAACATTATTCAAAAAATTATAAAAACTAACCACGCGTAACGCGGACATTCATATAGTATCTGTAATGATTTCAACAATGCACCAGAAGAATACTATTTTTTCTTGCACCAAATGGTAACCAAAAAAATGGCGATGTTATTTGAGTTAATATGATTTCTCATATTATTTGACTACATTAGGATTTTTTCTTCTGTTTTGATTATTTTTGTCAATTTACTTGTCCAAATTACTCGTTATATATGAGATTGTCTCTTTATATATTCAACATTTTGCAGTTAATGTTGTTCTCGTATCCAACAATTTTTTTAATGCCAAAAATAAAATTATAACATGAGAGAAATACCTCAAATAATCATGCATACATGTGTTTATCCAACCTAAAAGATAGTTGCGCATAACATAAAGCTAGAGTATTCAAAATCCGACTCTGAATGTAAACTCACCTTTTCATGCCAATAAAAACAGTGAAAGAACGCACAAAAAATGACCAAAAAAATCAGAGCTGAACTTGTACTCGGAGGCACTGTAGAATAACGGTTACATGAATAACGCTTTTTAAGAGAAGTACACTTGTAAAATAAATGAGAAAAGAAAAAGAAATAACCAATTGAAGACTACAAATGTCACGTAAAATTGTGGTTGGCTAAAGTAAAATAGCTTTCTGTTGGCAGAGAATATTTCATTGTTAATAGCTCGGCCGTTGTCCCTACCTTCCGACGATTCTCACCATATTTTGTCTAGTGCACGAATCCAGTTTGTCAGAATATTTAACCATTGTCACGCAACTAAGCTGGAGGGATCAGTGATCAGAATCGCTAATATCCAGGATCTAAAGGTTCTACGAAAACAAAAATCCTTCTTACAAAGAGGTTTGTTGATATCTGAAACTAGAGATAACAAACAACAATTGGAGAAATCTTGATCTAGAGAACGAGCAAATCATTTCAAGCTGCCGGCAACGCTTTTGTGAGGAAGAAGATCGGTTTGAAGCAGCTTCTGTGAGTGAGACTTTTTCCTCTGATTACGAATCACCTACTTAATATGTCTATGTGTTGCTTGCTTTGCTTTGATAGTACTATTATTATGGTTGTGTGTTCTTTGATTTACACCACATACTTACTATATGTGATCTGTGTCTAGTTGCTGCCAGTTGCTGCTTTGATATGACACCAGTCATGCTTGTTTGTTGACAATAGTTGTGTTGTTGCTTAAATATCAAAACGCTTATATGATAAACTTTTTGTATGGGGATTGTCTTCTATGTTACTTTGTCATAGTTTGAGTTAAATGTATGTTTGATTGTTTGTAATTAAGGGTGTACAATAGTCACAAGATCTGCTGCAGTGAGGAGAAAGTGATCACATCTCTAAGGCTTATGTTGCCTACTGACTTCTCACTTGTTCTTCCAATGACGGGTATGCCTCCGATTCTCTTTCTCCTCATTAGCTTGAAGGCCTGAAGAACTGGTTCATATATCCTCATAGCTATATCGGAAACATAAATGATAATCTATTAGAAGAAGAAATCAATGGAGCTATGAGCAACATATGATCCCTTGACTTAATGGGAAGACCAAGTTCAGAGAGAGAGATAGAGAGATCTTTGATTCTCCAGTCCTCAGGCATTCTGCCAGCATATGGATAAATCCTGATTTTATCCAGCATGTGGATAACTCCTGATTGTGTGACTAAGCTCACTGCATTCAAAAACTTGATGACCATGGACCTAATTGTTCCAACTCAAAAATTGTTTCTTATTTAATTATTTGACAACATTATTCTTTTCTCGTTTTTTTTTCCCGTCTGATTAAAATGGGAAAGATAAAACAGAGTGTACTAATGACAACACCAAAACAGAGTTAATCGAAAAACAGAGGCATACATTGTTATTTATAATTTTTATTGTTTTTTTCAAAGGAAGTTTCGTTAAAACATACCGTAATTTGGAAATTTTTAGAGCAGAAAATAATCATCACAAAATAAAAAGGAAAAGATGAGAAAGTTAAAAAAAATAGTCTAACATTGACTAGGGTTTAGCAAGCTTTTTTTACATAGGTATGAAAAATCATATATATGATTTTAGGTGAACTCTCTCCATCCTGCTGTCACATCAGCATCTGAATGGAGGACACCTGTCATTTCATCCAACTAATAAATCATAAATTTTAAAATAAAAATTAAAAACTAATTAATACCACTACTTCTAACTTAACTTTTCTATTTAATGTTTATTTCATATGTATTTATGTTCATAACTATAAGTTACATTAAAATTAAGTCTTTCCACATTCCTAAAATAAATAAATAAACAACATTTATAATCTTTTGGTATTCGTCTAAAAACTTTTAATATTTTTTGTACTAACTTGATAATTTTTCTTCCGGCTTATCCTCATCATGAACACATTTTTCGAAGTTTGTTGTATGAAAGAAAGTAAAGATGTAATGTTCTCTATATTTAAAGATTTGAAGGTTTTTATGGGTCAAATATCATATTATTATAGCTGCATTTTATTGTGAAACATGAAGTATGGGGTGATTCTTGCAGAATCATGGCAATTGTGCATGTCATAAATATGAGAACATTAAAAAACAGAGGTAATTATATGTTTTCAAGCAATTCAACCAAAAAAATATGGCTTCTATCTACGTTTTTTTACTTATATCATTTTTATGATTTCTAGAATAGAAAAATAATTTTCCGTCTTACCCTACTTCCAATCTTTAAAAACAGTTATTTGTTTTACAAAGATTTTATTTTTAAAAAATCTAATACTAAACAATCAAACAAATTACCATATTTTTATAATTATATATATATATTAACACAAACATATTTTTAAAAATATTATGTGAACAAAACCTGCGCGTATGCGCGGGTAAAAGTCTAGTAACTACAATCCTAAAGGAAAATTATAGTGGAGCGCGAGATCAGAGATGCCATCGTTGAGAGAAACAAAGAGATCAAAGAGAGATTTGTACTGAATAGAAAGAAGAAGAAAAGAAATAGGAGAACCAAATTTCATAGATGATTTACCTGAGAGCTTGCTATTGCTCGAGATTCTCTCCAGGCTACGTAACGTAACCCTAGAGATTTCGTGGTTTGCAAAAACGTGAGCAAGCGATGGACCTCTCTGATATCTTCTTATTCTACTTTCCATGACAACCCGAACTTGGCTTTGATCCTCAACACACAACCTCAATATGCTACAAACGACATATGCTTGGAGGCTCAGGCAACGATTCAGCTTACACAACTATGTCGATCCGGAGTTTGGTTCTCCGGTTTGTGTTCTACCCTCCTGCAAAGATGTCTTGTTGTGCACGAAACCTTCATCTAAAGAACTCTACGTTGTGAATCCTGTGTTGTACACTTGGTTTCTTTTTAGCAGTGAAGAATCGGTATATCTTCTGCTCGAAGACATAAGTCGAGCGTGTTTAAGGGATTTAAGTGAATCAAAGCTTGAACCATTTTCTCTCTTTGTTGCATTCCATTCTCATTGATCAC